AATGATAAATGCATAAAGAATAAAATAAGTTTTTTTTTAAATTTCTTCTGACTAATTTAATATATTATTTATTAACTCACTTAGAATAATATATAATTATCAGTGAATAATAAATGAATTCTATTTATACATCCATTAGATCTAACTACTCACAAAAACTCAACAACTTTTTTTTTTTACTTCTTACTACCTTAATCATACTTTTCATCTTCATTCCAAGCTGTACAAGAACCGTGTCATAAACTTTCACGCTCAAACAACTACCAACGTTCGATCCTCTACCCACTCGTCTAACCAGTAACTTTTATACGAATTATCCAAGCGCGAGATATTCCTCTACAACGTACGAAAGTATTGCTCTGGCCAGGGGACAATCGAGACCCAGTTCTCGCGGTCAATTGCGTCCATGGAATTCGAGATTGTGAATAAACCAATTGAGACCATTGATAGGAATTAAACGAATTTCATGTTGTACCACGGAACAATAAGATACAATTGAAAAAGAGTTTTGTCAATCATGATTTGCTTATTGTTTTCCTATATACTAAATATTTTAAGTAATATAAAAAGAAATTGCCAGAAATTTTATTTATTTATTTTTTTTTAATTATCTTTGAATAGAACAAGTTTAGAGAAAGAAGAGTTTTGTCAATCATAATTTACTTATTGCTTTGTTATATACTAAATATTTTAAGTAATATAGAAAAAAATTGCCAGAAATTTTATTTAATTATTTTTTTAAATTATCTTTTAATGGAATAAGTTTAGAGAAAGAAGTTAAAAAAATACTAAAACTTATAATTTATCGAAGAAAATTTCCAAAGTATTATATTCACAAATACAAAAACTGAAATACGATGATGAAATCTTTCTCTGTAATTTTAATAGGATCATTCTTTGCACCTAACGATCTACGTGTTAGCAAAAAAAAAAAAAAATTACTCTCTATTAATTAATTCAGTTTAACGAACCATTTAAATCAGGGATAGCTTAATCTTCGAACAACTTATATATCTATCTTCGAATAATTAAAGAAGAATTACTCTCTCAAAAGACTTTCTTCATTATCGTTTTTTTTAAGAGAATCCGTGCCTTCTTCAAACACGTTCTATTTTTTTTTTTTCCACCCTTTCTTCTCTCTTCGATCTTCCCTCTTAACACCGTTTCACGAGGAAAATGGCGTTCGAAGGTTGTAACCCGATCACCACGGTGAATAATTAATTCATCTAATATTCCTTCCGGTCGAAAAACTCGGCAAGATTAATTATACATGCGAGAACGAAGCATGTTTCAAAGGGTGAGGCAAATTTAGGGTGAAACTCGGCAACACGAAGCCATTAACTCGCAACCCTTTCGCACATGGTTCATGCGATATTCTTAGAATGTTATCGATCTTTTCTTAAATTGAACCATGAATTTCATTATTTCTTTTTCGATAGAATATATTTATTTGTTACGATTAGTAACCCAATTTATTTTTCCCCGAATTCGAATTGTCTAATCGTTTGCTATGTTTTCCATAAAATATAAAATTGTTTTCGTTTTAAAACGATATAATAACTAATATTAGTATTTTTTTACCAATACATCCATAAGTAGATTGAATATAAACAATTTTGCCTCTCGAATAATTGTAATTATACAATCAATTAAATAAATGGCGAGACGTAATATTTTTAGGTAATTAAATTTAAAAGAAAGGAAAAAAAGTATCGAAATAGAGAAATACACGATACTCTAAAAATAAAACTTGCTTTAGTTACTATTCCTTCTTCGAAGAATTGAAGATCCTACGAGGGTTGGCTGTCGATCTCCTTTTCCAACAGTTTTTTTATTTTCCAACAATTCTCTCGATCCACCACCCTCGGGCGAGGGAGGGTGGCGGTTGTGTTTAACGCGAAATTTATTGCTACTACCCCGCATGTGCAATGCTCGATACGTGATGAAAATTCATGTAGAACCGACGCATGACCGCGATAATGCATAATGCAAAGGAAGCTGAGCATTGTTCGAACGCGGTTGGATCATGGCCAGAAGACGGTATGAAACGAGAGAATGGAGATATTGGAAAAATTTTGGTAAACAGATTCGAATAAATTTGGAGAGACGATTGGGGGATGTACGTTTCAAGGGGTAGATTTTTCTTAGAAAATTATAAGATGTCGATTCTTTTTTTTTTAGTAACATTTATCCGTTAATGCTCAAAAGTGAAACTTTTGATAGACTTAAGATACTTTTAAGCATTGATAAAACTAGAATTTTGTAAAGAAAAATTACTTAATTATAAACCAAAATTAATATTTTTAAAAATAATAATACAGAATCGAGTATATTTAATAGATATCCTTTATAATAATATCTCAATGATTAAAAAATTAATATAATGATTAAAAGAATTCCAAGGAAATGGCATATTCCTACTCGATCTGATATCGTGTATGTGCATACGTGTAACGTCAAAGACGATAACGTCGGTTCGACGAACTTGTCCAAGAGGAAACGTCGCTTTGAATGGGGAGGGAAAAGAAAAGTTAGCAGCAGGCGAGCGTGTGCTCTCGTGGGTCGAAGAAAAATAATCGCTTTCTACGTGTGGGTCCGCCGACAAGCGTGGGCGGCAGACAAGTTTGGGCGGATGGAAGTGAGAGAGAGAGAGAGAGAAAGAGAGAAAGAAAAGGTTCTGTATTAGGCTCGTTTAATTATCACCGATGCGTGTCATTGACGAGTTTATCGAACTTTCCTCGAGAAGTTTCATAAAAATTCTCCTTTTTTTCGTGTCTCACTTGGGAAAATCGATAATGAAGATAGTTAAAAAGATAACGGTTAATGATAATTTTCAGATATTTTGTTATTTAACTTAATAAATAAGTTATTTGAAGAAGTCTTTGATTAAGTCTTTCATATAATTTTCTCCTAAACGTAGAAGAAAGAAATTTTACTACAACTTAATAAAGAAATTTTAAAAAAATTGACTAATTCAAAAAAATTTGTTTAAACGTCTGAAAAAATTTTAATTCCTAACTTGAAAATATTTGATTTCAATCAATTAATAAACTTTTTCTAAAAATCTATTAAAACGAAACGAACCTTCAAATTCTCATTATTTCCTCATCTCCCTTAAACATTACGCAAATATTTCTAATCATCTAAATATTTTCCACTATAACCAACTACTAGAAAAAAAAACCTTAAACAATTTAAAGTTTCATTCATATTTCAAACTCGATAACTCGATAAACCGTATATAACTTATCCTTAATAAATAAGCATTTACAATCGATCCAATATAACCAACTACTAGAAAAAAAAACCTTAAACAATTTAAAGTTTCATTCATATTTCAGATTCGATAACTATAAACTTATACTTATATAACTTATCCTTAATAAATAAGCATCTGTAATCGATCATCCCCAAATATATTATACACCCCATGTATATAGAACGTGCAAAATCAAACAGATCGATAAACCGTCGCGTAATTAGCGGCAAGTGGTAGAATTGATTGGTCGATCGAAGGATTAATTCGCGACAAGATGTAATGGATGGTGGCGAAAAACGCGAGAACCGAGCCAGGAAATTGCGAAACGAGCGGCTCGTTATGGTCTGTGAACCATCGAAAATCCCCAACGGGGGTCACTAATTCGTCACTCGGTTGAAAAACGAGAATGTTGGACCGCTTTCTATGATCTCATTGTGCTCCGTGTCAACTTTAACGATTCAATGAGCCACGCTCGAACGAAAGGTTAAATGATAAATGGAAGAGACGTGTAGGGCCATCTGGGGAGGGGATGAATGATAGATTCACGATTCTTCCCCCACCCCAAAGCCGAGCAATTGCGAATACGTACGAACTATTTTTATTATCTAATTTGGAAATGTTAATTGGAAAGCATGGGTGTTTTTTATGTTTTTAAGCATTTGCCAAATCGGAATTTTGGATTTTATTTATTATGGTGAATTATTGAATAGAAGAATATTGAATAATAGGAAGATTGGATAATTCTTTTTCTTTTCACGAGTGAATGAAAATTCATGAAACGTAATAAAGAACTTTTATGGAGTGTTTAAATCTATGGAAAGTGAATTATTGCATGAATGCTAATTTTAATAATAATCCGTAAAATTTATTTATATATATTTATATATAAATAATTAAATAAAATGATTGTGTAATATTGCCATAGGGAAAGATTTGGATCGATACTTTCGATTTTTATAAATCACTACTTGCAAGTAATTAAGCTTTTTCATCCATTTCGTTGAGCTTAGTTCTCATCGTGGATGGATAAAAAAATAAACGAAATTTTATCGTGTAATTTTCTATATACATTTAATTTTATTCGATAAATACAATTGATGAAACATATAAAATTGTCATTCGAGGTTGAATAAAAATTAAACGAGAGGAAAAACTTCGTCGTTTTATACTAAAATAATTTTCAGAGGATATTCTTTTTATATTCGATTCTTTTTTACTACTAAAATAATTCCAATTTACAATATATTTGATATCTCGTTTCGTTTCGTCTCTCGCAACTTCATTAAAACTCTCGTACAAATTCAACGAAGAATCTCATTTTACAAACTCGAGATAATAAACCAAGCAGAAGAAGTTTCAAGGATTCGAGAATATTATCAAACGTAACAATTAAGAAAAAGAAGAAAAATAACAAGAAAAGAAGTTGAATAAATTGTTCATGAAAAAGAGAGAAAGAGAAAGAGAAAGAAAAAGAAAGAGAGAGAGAGAGAAAGAAAAATACCGCGTAGAATGGAGGGAAATGTGGCAAAAAAAAAAAAAAAAACCA